TTCCTATCTAGCAGGACCAGTGGTCAGGGATGATGGGAATTGTAAACAGCTAGAGACCCAAGTTTGGGAAACACTATAGGATGAAGGAGTTGTCAATTCCCTTGTGTTTATATGATTTAGAACTCAGGCAATTTGTGTGTGTGTGTGTTGAGTTTTACATTCACTTTGTGAGGTGACAGCCTTTTAATAGAACCATGGTCAAGTGTTTGTTAAACAGTGATATTCTCATTCTTTCTACTTCTCAAGTGTTCGTTAAACAGTGATCTTCTCTTTCTCTCTTTCTCATTCTTTCTCTCTCTCTTTCTCTTATAACTCCTCTGCCCCCACCCCCAGCTGTTTGTGTGTGATCTGATCGAGGTTTATACAGCTATATCCAGGGAAGATCCTCCTTCCGGTCTGTGGCTGGGGGAGGTTAGAAGGATGTTGGGCACAAATAAATGGTCTTGGCTGCTAAGAGGGAGGTGTTTTGCTCTTGGTGACAGTTGTGTCTTTAATGTAATATAGATCTGGCCTTAAGTGATTTTAGAAAATCCCTTCAGTAGCTGGTTCCAAACCACTGAGGGTTCTGTATAGGCCCATGTTATATGATATTAATCTCGGAATGTACTTTTAAAAAGCATATTGTAGTTGTGGGTGGGGTTTCTTTTTTTGGGTGGGGGTTATTTAGCTCTGCTTTTACCCCCTGCTCAAATAAGACACCAAAATACATAAATAGTGCATACATTGTATTCCCAACCACACGATAATTTTACGTATCCAATATTTGCATTCAGTGGGATGCTAATAGAAGTCTGTTTCAACTCTGGGTCTTTTTGAAGTTCATATAAATCCATCTTCCTCTACGGAACTAGTTTCCTTCGGGGGGGGGGGAGGGGGAATCAGTCAGATTCCAGCTTGAGTTTTTGCCAAGCCTGAGTCCTCCCACTCGTTTGGTAGTAAGTGTAATTGCCTCACTTTGGAAGCTCAACCTGCAAAAATGCTTCCACCTAAATTGCAGACACGTTCCTGTGTTACTGTCAAGCCATCTGCACAGTTTCCCTTTTGCTTAAATGAATGGATTTACAACACAGCTTGCTTTAGAAGCCAGTGCATGCCAGGCTTAATGGATGGGGTATTGGGGATAGGCTTGACCGTGGGCCAAGCGGTGCATGGGCGAGGAGTGTTCACAGTACTTTCTCTATTTGGATTACCTTAAACTTGATTGCATTTGCAACCCATTTCTCCCAGCACATGAGCTGAGGCAGATAATGAAGCTAAGCAGGTCTGGGAGACCACTTGGGAACCTCATGTGCTCCACCTTGCATTCCATAATAGAAGAAGAGCAGGATATAAATGTCCTAAATATATAACCTTGTTTCTTCCTGATCTCATGATGTTTGAGAGAAAAAACAATAAATCACTTATGCCTTTGCTGAATGCTGTAAATTTCCTTAGGAACGATAATAAAAACACAGTGCTGGCCATGCAGTTCAGTTTCAAGGTAACCAGCTTTAGAAATGAATATGAATTGCTTGTACAATTTTATTCCACTTATTGAATAGAATAGTTTAGGTAACCCATGAACCTGGCACCTTTGCTAGCTTGTGAGTCAACTTTGGGCAACTTTGCCCTGCTTCTAAATTTGGTCTTGATCTTAGTATGTGGAAAGGGGTGTTGCAAATATTTCACAAACCCTATTTTTGTCTGTGAAATGTTGCATGCAGAGCCTAAACAGCTTCCTGTGGGCACTTTCAAAGCATCATAGGTGTGAAACATCGTTCTGGACCCAGTAACCAGCTTCCTTTTCTCTCAGAGAAGCCTGATACAGAACAGCAGCATGTTTCTTCACTTACCCTTGGACATGATCTGCAGGAAACAAAGCCATTAAAATATGTAAATAACTTTAACACAATACCCGGTCTTTAATATCTAGAAAGGCATGAAAGATGGCTATTCCTTTGATTTTAATGCTGCTTTGGGCTTTGCAGGCACATTACAGTGAGAGTGATGTTTCCCTGTATTGGCATTTAATAACAAAAGTACCCATTCAATGTTTTGCAATAATTAGGTACAGCGCATTTCAACTTTGGGATAAAATGCCAAGTAATATAATGGCACACTTACTTTATTAGTATTTTTTTCTGGAAACTGGTGACACAAACAGACAGACAGCAGAACAGCTTTGCAATTATGGATCCTAATGTTTTTCAGCCAGTTTGGAAATTAATAATGTAATGGAAAGTTTGGAGTGAAATATCTTACTGAGTTCTAAGTAAGAAATGGTGGCTGTTATCTAACGATCCCATGGAGAGGACCTCTGTTAAAGAACATGCAGATTTCTATTAGTTTTTTGCCATAGAAAAGGGAGTATCTAATGATCAGACAAAGAATGCAGTAAAAGCCAGCCATGGGTAGAAGAGACGTTTACTTCATATCTTTGAGAAACAGGATTCTGATCAGGCCTATTTTAAGGGAGCTCCAGTGTGGCTCATGACAGCTGGGTCACAAAAAGTACTAATCCATATTCAGGGCTAGGAAGCTGATGGTGTTAGGACAAGGATGGAGAACCTCAGACCAGGCACCAGATGTGGCTTTTTAAAGCCTCTCTATCTTGCCCTGGGGACTGTCTACTACTTTTCACCCTCCTTCAGCACAAACACTGAGGTCCAGCTCTGAGGGCCTTCTGGCATTTCCCTTATTGTGAGAAGTGAGGTTACAGTGGATCAGGCAGAGGGCCTTCTCAGTAATGGCACCCGTCCTCCCATCGGATGTCAAGGAAATAAACAACTATCTGACTTTTAGAAGACATCTGAAGGCAGCCCTCTTTAGGGAAGTTTTCAATGTGTGATGTTTTACTGTGGTTCTGTAGTTTGCTGGAAGCCACCCAGTCACATAGACGGCATATAAGTAATAAAGAACAACAACAACAACAACAACAACAACAGTAAAATTATTGAAGTCTTTGCCTGGCTGGGATGTGTTACTGAATTCTGATAATGCCTGGATGGAGGCTAGAGTGTGTGAGTACATTAGCCTTCTGTAGAAAGGTAAAATTCTACATACATTGCTGTCTTCACTTTTGCCACTGGCTCCACCCTCCACTGGCATGTAGCCCCCAGAAGACTGGCAAAAAATGCAGCCCTCTGGCTGAAAAGTGACTTGCTAATTGTTGCTACTGTACTTCAGACGTTTAATTTCCAAGAATCAGTTATGGCTACATTAAGGATCGATCCCTAAGATATCTATACTGAGCTATGGGGCAACTTAAGCTTTGCAATGAACAGGTGCTGGTGGGGGGGGGCGCTGAAAGATTTCTAGGATGTCTTGAAAAGGTTGTATAGCAGTCTGAAACCTTGTGGAAATTTTGTGTAAGTAGGATAAAGAAAACCCCTCACATCAAGTATATCCTCAGGGTTTTGTGATGCTCCCTTGGTGTTCCTTCCCTTTTTGAAAATGATATCAGAAGGCAATCCCAGTTCTCCATTCTGCCAGACCTTCTGCAGCCATTCATTCATGATTTACGGTGTCATAAAACTGGAGGAGAGGAGGGAATTCACATTGACAAAAAGGTATGGCTTTAGGAAAGGATAGCTATTTCCTGAAGGTCCCCCCCCTCACATGTACCTGGTATTCTCTCTCGCTTCTGGCATGCACATGTAGGCATAACCCCACACCCTACTTTATGGCAAAATAGTCACCCACACATCCATATGTGAGCTTATACTTTCCCTTGTATTATTCATGTAAAACATGTATATCCCACCTCTGCTGGCTTACGTGGCAACTTACAACAGACAAATTAAAACGAGTTGATCACCAAATATGTTGCCTTTGGATCCAAATACCAATTTGCCCAAATTGATGTTTCTTGGCTTTTCTTTGAGGGAGTACTTTCAAATTTCCCTTTTGCCCTCTGGAATTGCAGCTTTGGGGGAATTGAGAGTGGGGAGCAAAAATAAGCCAGCATGAAGAGCAGCCTCTGCAAAAGATACCACTAACAAATCAAAGAAACAAAACAGTGTACCTTTTAGAACTCACCCCCATAGCAATCCTTTTGTGCTTCAGAAACCTCTGGGTTTGCAACTTCTTCCATTTTCAGATGCGAGTGATATCTCTGTGGAACATTTGAATTGTGTTCTGGTCAGGGAAAAAGCATTGCATTGCTGGTTGATGGATTAATACAAACAGCTGTTAGTATGGGGGGAAACCTTTTACTCTGTCAAACAGCTACGAAAAGCAAGATTTGAACGAAAGCAGCTTATGAGTTGCTACTTGTATGACAGTTGCTACTTGCATCCTCAAGCATATGATGAAAGCAAGTATCTCTTAAACGCTTGTCTAAAACAGACGGCTAACCATTTAGATCACCAAGCAAATGACATGCTGGAATTGGAAGTAGGCTGTTCTCGCCTGCTTACGTTTCTGTATTTTTAAACTGCATCTGTCCTTTGAAAGCTTTGTACCATCTTAGGTTTGTTGCCAGAAAGTTTGCTGGCCACAATAAATGGTCAAAATACTCCAGGCACAGTACCTGATGATAACCGGTAGCTTCCTGTGTTGCTAACATTATAGGAAAGCTTTCATTTGGTAGAGGAAATATGGGTGCTGCTTAAACAATGATTTCAGTGGCTATCTGAAATTCGGGCTTCAAATGGTAGGAATTTTTTGTCCTTTTTTTTTTAAGCCTCATGTTGGTAATAAAACTTCTTATGAAAGTTTCACCCGGACTGCAGGTACCTCTCTCTCTTTGATTGCTCATTACTGTTTTAATTAACGCAACTGTGGTTCACATTAATTACTTTTCAGTGATCAGAATTAGGGTCAAATTTTACTATAAATGCTGGCAGCAAATGTAGAAAACAGACTGTTAACCCTTGCACTACTATAGGAACTGTCAGAATCACCCTCTAAACTCTTACAGCAAATTGTCTACAAAACCAAGCCCATATAGTATGAGATTCAAAAATATTAACAACTGTAACTAATTTGTAGCACTCTGCATAGAATTATAGAGTTGGAAAAGGACCACAAGGGTCATCTATTCGAACCCACAACCCTGAGATTAAGAGTCTCATGCCCTACCGATTGAGCTGGGTTATTACCAAATGGAAGGGTTGCAGGTTAGATGCTGAGCTAAAGTTTAAGGTTTTGTCCCTGGTAGGGCTGAGAGATGGAACAATGGTCTGATTTGATGTAAGTAAGCTTCCTATGTTCTGAAGCACCAAAGGACCAGCAGCAGGACTTGCTGCAAAAGGTATCAATCAATCTTCAGGGCTAGGAAGCAACATCTGCTTCACCAACTGGCTCACCCAGATCTGAACAGCAAGAAAATGGCTTTTAACCACATAGGATTCTAACCTCAGGCGATTCCTGCAATACTATGCTGCTTATCTTAATGGAAGATGCCCGTCCTATATTTCACTAAGGGGAGCAAGTTTAATAATAATAATAATAATAATAATAATAATAATAATATTCAATCCAGTGTAAAGAAAGGAAGAAAGGCATGACTTGGAAATATTCAGAATCTTATTAGCCAGGTAGCATAGCTGGTAGCTTTTCTTCACTCTGTAGTATGGGTAAGTTCATTGCTAGGGATCAGAACGTGAACAAGAGAGCTGAAATTTTGTTTTTAAATAGTAGCACAGAAATATAAAAGCATGTGCTTAATAACAAATAATTGAAGTGTTGCTTTTAAGTCTTTTCAGAGTGTCTCAAAAGTGATAACTAGCAATTACTTTTAACAGCATTTTGTACTACATTCACACACACACTTCATGTCTATTGAAACCCAATTAACAGAGGCTTCATGTGATCTTCACAAGATGTAGGGTTAAGTAGTGCTTTAAACGTGTTCAGTTGCTAGCAATCTACTATGACTCTTGCACACATGTACATGTAATGTTTTTTATGAAGAAATGTGCTTACATTTTGTTTCATTCCACATTACGTCTTGGCTGGTGGTTTAAGAAAAGCATAGTTGTTTGGCAGTTCTGAAATGTTGTTGGTATTTTTACGCAACGTAGCTGAGCCAAGCACTTCTTGGCAGAACGAATTACATGTAACTTGATTTGACTGACCGAAATAAAGGGAAAGGAAATGTTTCTGAACTACAAATACTGGATGTTGAGTAATCAGAGGAAGCTTTCATGAGAAAGAGAAGTTCTGATTTGAAGTTGGCTGGGGGGTTTTTTTGGCTTCAAATTGTGTAAGAATTGCAGCTTGGTGTTGTGGAATGTGATTATGTCTTTCACTCTTCTGAGAAGAAGAAGAAAAATCTGAATAGAAAAAAGCGGAGATGGCGTCGATTGGGCTATTTGGGTTAGTGCCCATTTGAGCTATACATTTCACTTTTCTGACATGCCTCATGCGTACCCTCATAAACATCAGGAGATGTGTTGGCACAGAGTGTGTTGATGCTGCAGGGCAGAACAGTTTAAACCGCCAATCTGTCGTACTGGAGGGGGTTTGGATGAGGTGGAGATGTTCTTCCTCCCAGACCTGCCTGGTTCCTCTGACTCCCAGCTTTGCAGGAGGGAGTTCCTTCATTCAGGAACACTCTTAACATGCCTGCTCAAATGGCAGGTGGGTGACAGCCAGTGGAAATCCTCCAAGGAGGAGAAATTCAGGGGAGAGGCAATCTGATGGATCCTTAGCAGGCCCTGCGGCCATCATGTTACAGCAACAGACTCAATGTGGGCCAGTGTGGGAGCTCATGCAGTGAAACAGCATTTTGTCTTCCCATCTTCCACCCTGGCCAGTGCTAGCGGCAGGGCTGAAGATGTGGTGTTGGCTATGCTTCTCTTTTTAAAAAAAAAAAGATATTTATTAAGATTTTCAAAATGTTACAAAACAAAAACAAAAAAAGAAAAAAAGTACAAAAATAAAAATGGCTAAAAACAACTCAATCTTTCCATTACTTATTTTTCATTAGCTTATTTCCCGGACCTCCTCACGCCTCCCTTTTTTGTATTCCAGTTCAGTTTGTTGGTTCAGCAAATCCTTACCCTCTTTGTTTATCCTAGTCTTTAATCTTAAAGTATTGTAACGTTAAATTTTTACCTATTAATAATCCATTTTTCATATTCCCTTATAGTATTACAGCTGAAAACCACTTAATTTCTATCCAACATCATTCTAACATTCATTAATTTTACAATATTTCTGTAGATAGTCCTTAAATTTCTTCCAATCTTCTTCCACCGACTCTTCTCCCTGGTCTCGGATTCTGCCAGTCATTTCCGCCAGTTCCATATAGTCCATCACCTTCATCTGCCATTCTTCCAGAGTGGGTAGATCTTGTGTCTTCCAATACTTTGCAATGAGTATTCTTGCTGCTGTTGTGGCATACATAAAAAAAGTTCTATCCTTCTTTGGCACCAATTGGCCGACTATGCCCAGGAGAAAGGCCTCTGGTTTCTTCAAGAAGGTATATTTAAATACCTTTTTCAATTCATTATATATCATCTCCCAGAAAGCCTTAATCCTTGGGCACGTCCACCAAAGGTGAAAGAATGTACCTTCAGTTTCTTTACATTTCCAACATTTGTTATCGGGCAAATGATAAATTTTTGCAAGCTTGACTGGGGTCATGTACCACCTGTATATCATTTTCATAATATTCTCTCTTAAGGCATTACATGCCGTAAACTTCATACCTGTGGTCCATAACTGTTCCCAGTCAGCCATCATTATGTTATGTCCAACATCTTGTGCCCATTTGATCATAGCAGATTTCACCGTTTCATCCTGAGTATTCCATTTCAACAGCAAGTTATACATCTTTGACAAAATCTTAGTTTTGGGTTCTAACAGTTCTGTTTCTAATTTTGATTTTTCCACCTGGAAACCAATTTTCTTGTCCAAATTATATGCCTCCATTATCTGATAATAATGAAGCCAGTCTCGCACTTTGTTTTTTAATTTCTCAAAACTCTGCAATTTCAGTCTGTCTCCATCTTGTTCCAAAATTTCCCAATATTTCGGCCATTTGGCCTCCATATTGAGCTTTTTCAGAGCTTTCGCTTCCATCGGTGACAGCCACCTTGGGGTTTTATTTTCCAATAAGTCCTTATATCTTATCCAAACATTAAACAATGCTTTCCTGACAATATGGTTTTTAAATGCTGTATGTGCTTTGACCTTATCATACCACAGATATGCATGCCATCCAAATACATTGTTAAAACCTTCTAGGTCCAAAATGTCAGTGTTTTCAAGAAGCAGCCATTCTTTCAACCAGCAAAAAGCTGCTGATTCATAGTAAAGTTTGAAGTCTGGCAGGGCAAATCCACCCCTTTCCTTTGCATCAGTTAATATCTTAAATTTTATTCTGGGCTTCTTGCCCTGCCAGACAAATCTAGAGATGTCTCTCTGCCACTTCTTGAAGCAATCCATTTTGTCCACAATTTGCAATGTTTGAAACAAAAACAACATTCTAGGCAATACATTCATTTTTATCGCAGCAATACGACCCAGCAGTGAAAGCTTTAAATTTGACCAAATTTCTAAATCTTTTTTCATTTCAGCCCAGCATTTTTCATAGTTGTCTTTAAATAGGTTCACATTTTTTGCTGTCATATTAATCCCCAGGTATTTCACTTTCTTAACCACTGTTAAACCTGTTTCATTCTGAAACCTCTCTCTCTCAATCAGTGTTAAGTTTTTCTCTAAAACCTTGGTTTTTAACTTATTCAGTTTAAATCCAGCAACCTGACCAAATTCTTGAATCAGTTCTAAAACCCTTTTGGTACTAGATTCTGGCTCCTGTAACGTCAGTACTAAGTCATCTGCAAATGCTCTCAATTTGTACTGTTTAGCTCCGACTTGTATACCTTTAACCAACTGGTCCCTTCTAATCATATTCAGCAAAACCTCCAGGACCGATATAAACAGCAATGGGGAAATTGGGCAGCCTTGTCGTGTCCCTTTTTCTATCTTAAATTCTTCCGTCACCACATTATTTACAATTAGTTTAGCCTTTTGTTCTGAATAAATTGCACTTATACCGTTTTCGAAGCCTTGGCCTACCCCCATCCCCTGTAGGTTCTTCTTCATAAAACTCCAAGAGATATTGTCAAAAGCTTTCTCCGTGTCCACAAATATCAAAACTGCTTTAGTATTTATGTTCACTTCTAGTTTTTCCAAAATATCAATTATATTCCTCAAATTGTCAGACAAGTGTCTTCCCGGGAGAAAGCCCGCTTGGTCTTTATGGATCTCTTCCATCAACACTTTTTTCAATCTCTTGGCCAAAATGTCTGCAAAGCTTTTGTAATCCACATTGAGTAATGATATGGGGCGGTAGTTCTTAAGCTGAGTCTTTTCAGTCTCTGTTTTCGGTATAAGTGTAATATACGCTTCTTTCCACGACTCTGGTGCCCTTTTCCCTTCCAATATTTCATTACAGACTTCCTTTAAAGGTTGTACTAACCACTCTTTCAAGGATCTATAGTATCTAGAAGTCAGCCCATCCGGTCCTGGAGATTTGCCTAATTGCATGTTTTGAATGGCAATGCTTCTCCACTGCCGGCCCAGGGATTTGGCGTACCCTCTAAATGGTTGGAATGAACACGCATCCATGTCTCACAAAATAGTGTGATTAAAACTTTTACCCCAAGTCTGTATGTATTTTAAAATTTAATTTCCACCAACCAAGTATTAAAAACAAGCACAAACATAAAGCGAATGTAAAGATAAAGGTAAAGGGACCCCTGACCATTAGGTCCAGTTGTGACCAACTCTGGGGTTGTGGCGCTCATCTCGCTTTATTGGCCGAGGGAGCCTGTGTACAGCTTCCGGGTCATGTGGCCAGCATGACTAAGCCACTTCTGGCGAACCAGAGCAGCACACGGAAACACCCTTTACCTTCCCGCTGGAGCGGTACCTATTTATCTACTTGCACTTTGACATGCTTTCGAACTGCTAGGTTGGCAGGAGCAGGGACCGAGCAATGGGAGCTCACCCTGTCACGGGGATTCGAACCGCCGACCTTCTGATTGGCAAGCCCTAGGCTCTGTGGTTTAACCCACAGCACCACCCGCAATTAAAACAAGTCACCCCAAACAACCCAACGGTAAAAGCAGCACTGAAGAACCAAAGAG